GTGACGTCTGGATGTATGATACCAGAGTGCCGGATCATGGGCGCTGACTGTAAATCCAAGATCGCTCAACAGAGCTGTCAAGTAATCATACCAGATCTTCGCCGCAGGGTCCAGGCCGTATAAACTACCCTCAACCGCGCAGACAAGCGTTTTCGGCGAACCTGCCTCAAATCCGGTGGGTTGCCTCATATAGACCTTCTTAGTGAGGCGCCCATGAAGATATGCCATCACTATATCCACTTGACGGAGTGTCCAACCGCGTAGTGCTGCTATTGCAAAAAGAATACGATTAGCAGTATCAGTGATGACAGGAGCGTAGGTCTCTTCTCTAGAACCCTTCTTAAGCCAGTTACCACAAATCACCCAACGCGATTTTCTAAGAATACCATCAGGATCGGCATTCGGGTCCGCGGGCCTATCTTTCTCAAGGAACACCCAACGGCCCGGAGCAATCAGTTCACCCCTCGGGACGTCAGATCTAGGGATCAAACTCCATGTATTGCGTCTCTCCAGGTCGGTAATCTCGCGTTGCATGGACTTCTTCCAATAATCTCCTACCCCCCCTGGCCGAGATGTGGCATCCTTGTAGGACTTCGGGAGGTTGCCTGTAATGGGGCTTGGAGTGTAAGTAGCCAGCGATTTCGCGGGCCGCAACCATGTAGAATTCGGATCATCAATGTCGGGAGCATCTTCATCATCAACCAGATGAATATCAGGTTCCGGTTCGCCGGCATTATTAATGGGTGCCACAGATGTGACAACCGGTTTTTCGGCGATCGGGAACCTCACATCACTACTGGCAATAATCTTGTCAGATTCGGGATGCCATAGGCGATATATCGATGTGCCACTGAATCCAATGATACGATAGGAATCGGCACGTGGAGAAAGCTTATCCGCGGGCCGCTGGGATCCATGCAAGTGAACAAAAACCTCTGCACCCAATCGGCGAAAATGCCTTACATTCGGCGGGGTATTCGTAAGTGCACACCAAGGAATCTTATGTGGACTTGGAACCACAGGGATCTCTGCAGTAGAGGGCCAAAATTTCGAGTTGTAAAGGACCGTAGATGTGGGAGTATTATTGGTTATTGCAACCACTGTCTCTAGAACATCTGCCCAGAACTTCTTAGGAAGATTACCTTTCAAAAGAGCAGCTCTAACCCGTCCCATGATAGTACGGATCCCACGTTCGGAAACGCCATCCTGGTGTGGTGAATGTGGTGCCGTTGGTTCCCATTTGATACCATATGAATCCATAACTGTGTGCATACGTGTGGATCGGAAAACACCATCAATATCGGTCCGTAGAAAAGCAGGGGCTGTATACCCGAGATTACCCATGAATCTGAGCCACAACTCAAAGTATTGAACAGCCTCATCCTTGGACTTTAAAAAATACACCCAACAGTAGCGAGTCGCGTCACAGGTGATAAGCATCCAGTATCTGGTTCCCTGGCGGGACTCTAAGGGGTGGTCAGAGAGGTCTTCCAATGTACGTCCGCCACCTGCAAGGTCAATATGGACCTTCTCAATGGGTCGGATAGATCTAGGCATCGGTGTTTTCGAATAATCTCGCGTCATGCCAGCCTTGACACATTCCTCGCAAAAGAACTTAGTCTTAGGGCCTTTAATTGTGACTCCAGTATGGGGATCCTTGGCCATAGCAATTATAGCACCAGCGTGGATGTGACCGAGGTCACAGTGCCAGTCCAAAAGAGTCTTTGATATCCTTGTATTCTTGAGGCCTGTATTCGGGACTGTAGAATCAATGTTATCAACAGTAGTGGCAGCAGCCACAGGAAGATCAACTTTTCGATCAAAATCGTACTCGTGGGGCATTGCAATATACTTGACTGCCCTGTTCGGATGATTGGGATCCTCATTGGACTCCCGTTCGTTGACCTTATATATGTTGTTCTGAGCGGTCCGGACTGCATGGAAAATAACGCCGTTCGGGGCTCTGCAAATGAAAAATGAGGGAATAGTGGAAGACAATGTAAATCGGAATCCCTGATCTTCAAGCTTCGCAAATGAGAGCAGGTTAACTGTAATATTAGGAATATAGTGAACATCCTGCAAGTTAACATCACCACCCTCAACCTCCAAGGTGACAGTCCCAATCTTCTTGACAAACCCAGTTCCCCCAGTTGCAGAATCGACAGAGATATTGCCATTAAAAGGTTTGATGTTTGAAAAAGAATGAAGCTCGCCCGTCATATTCAGGCTTGCACATGTGTCCAAATACCAAGATCTAGAGGATGGTTTTCCAGTGACTGTGGAAGAGGAATAGGACTCAACCTTCGTAATTGCTGCATTTGCTGCTGGTTGAGAACTCATCAAGTCATCCTTCTTCTCTTCCTTCTTGTCATCCTTCTTTTTCTTTTTATCAGGGTGTAAGATGAAACACCTGTCAACAGTATGACCATATCTTCTGCAGTGGGTGCACTTCCATACGGGTGTGCTTTTGTCCTCATCTTTGTCCTTATCTTTGTCCTTATCTTTGTCCTTTTTCGCAGTCACAGAATCGGCCTGAGGCTGCTTTTTCCGCTCGGTGGTGATCTTCTTGGATGTACGATTGGTCAGTTGCTTCATCAAATCATCGATATCAATGTTGACAATGGGTCCCTGGCCAGTGGAGAAAAACTCATCCAAACGTGTCTTGACAAACGGCCTTTGATAATCCTGCAGGTTGTTGAGGAAAAGATCATGATATATATCCTCAGTGCTCTGACAGAGCTCCTTGTGACGGGCAACAAGATAGCGGAAATGTCTCTGGAAAGTAAGATAATCATTCTCCTTGACTTGTAATTTTGTCAATTCCTTGAAGACATTAACTCGTTCCTCTGCCAGTGATATCGCATATTCCACATTGATCTTGTCCCACAGGGCCGCAGCATTGTCAGCTTCCAAGGTTCCAATAGTGGTTCGAACGTTTCCAACAAGACTCGATAGCATACGCCTATATAGAGACTTGGAACGGATCCTCCACTTCTCGGAGTCGATATGACGTGTAAAAGGGGATTCTCGTTGGGTCCTCAATAGGATGTCGGTTCCACCAATAACTTCCGCATCAGCCAACATACCAACACGCCAGGCATCATAATTAGAGCCATCAAATGTGGTCACTGATTTGGTGTCTAGTGCATATTTGACTTCCTTCTGGTATTCCCGTAACTCATCCCTCGTAGTGTCTCTTTGTGCAGGTGTAGTGAGATGTTGAGTGGTTTCAGCCGCAGCCATCTGGTTCTGTAGCATCATCTGCATAAGATCCATAAGATTGCCTGCGGTGCAATAGATAGGTTGATTCGGATCACCATTAAAAGTCGGCATTCCGGGGGTGGGGGACGGTGGAGGATTCGATGGGTTGGAATGAACAGATTCTGCAGATGGATGTTGACTCTGCTTTCCTTTATCCTGAAGTTCCTCCGTTGTCTCATCATCAAATTCCATACTCTGGCGAAAACTGACCTCAGCCTCATCTTGCAAGTCAGGAGCCTCCTCATAATGAGTGGTCATCCTATCAATGAGTCGTCTAGTGGAGCGTGTGGTCCTGGGCCTTGAGCTGGACTCTGGAGTAACAGGCGTATCACTCATATCGAGGTGGCTCTGCTTCTCCTAGGTGTGTAAAAAAAAAAAAGATAAAAAGTGATATCCTCCACAATGGAGAACGCGCTTTCTCAAAAAAAATAAAGTATATGAATCCGCTGACTGGCAGATTCAGGGAAAATGGAATATCTCTAATAAAGAGTAAGAGTCTTTCCAAAAAAGGTGAACTATCCGTGTCAAAAATATGTTGGTACAACGTTCTAAAAAGAAAAACGTGCCATCCGGGCTATAACCTGTAGGATAGTTGAAGGTTGTATTGATAGATCTATCTACAGGAACATAATATAGTGGTGGGTCACGTGATCTAGTGGGATCGCTAACCGCAACGGCCGTAAGGGCCAACAATATCTCTCCTTATCAACGTCAACGCTAACTTCATCTTTTCATCTTTAAACCCTCTTCTTGTCTTTCAGTTTTGTGGGAGACAATCCTCCGGGATTTATCTCAAGATTCTAGTCAATTTGTTATCTGTATTTCGACTTATCAAGAGAATATCTCTGTTGCCACACTCTTAAACGCCCGTATTTGCGGAGTTCTTGCTGCTCTGAATCTCTAATTACATCTTCGAAACTACAATTGTTCATGACATATATCTTCTCTTTCGATCTTGCGCAAAAGAATACCTCTATTGGCTCTTTTTGCGTGTTGTTTTCAAACCACATAATTAATTTCATTTCTGTTTCAACATCACATTCATTTAAGTTAGAACCTGCCTTCAGAGGCTACAACTCTACCTGAGAGCTGGTAACAGCCACCAGGCAGCCCTTCTTCCATTACTCCTGGCAAATCTTCCATTTTAAAGTCAACTGATGCCTCCCAGTTCCAAGAATATACCTATCAAGATATATATATCATTTGGTCCCAATGACGTCGGAGCCATCAGCGTTGGGGATTCCAGCCCCTCACCCTGACCCTAACCCGCACCCTGGAAATGGATCCCCAGAGGACAAGGTTCGCAAGTTTATTACAGAACTCCTGGATTCGCTCATAGATGGCCTAACGAGAGCTGACGGATGCCCGTCAATCACTCTAAGACGGCGCTCAAATCATGCCCAATTCTCGGTAAATCCGGAAACATGCGCTTTACAATGTGACACTGCTGACCTTTCCTGCACCTATTCATGGCCAGGGAAAACCGTGTTAGAAGGTTGGCGTTTCGGTAGGTTACGCCCCAACCCAGTGCGATGCTATGTTTTAGCGTATTCCTTGGGCTTGAATTGATCTCATTGTTCTTCTTATATCATCCAGCGGTCCTGTTGCGAATCCTTGGACATATATCAGAGGCCATTCGGGGTGATTTCGTTAGCTCGAAGCGGGATATCTACTATCTTGATCCTGTTTACTTTGGATCCCAGAGTGTAGTAGACCGATGCATTGACGACATTGCCTGTACGATTGGTGTCGATAGGACAGCGTTGCACGTGGTATTATGAACCGGAATATCCCATTGCCTCCGATGATGGGATCTTGTTCTTGCTAACTTGTGAATTATACAAGGCAGCAGCAGCCAAAGGACTTCTTGTGGGAAGCTTCAACATCACACTTAACGATGACTCCGTGGTAGACCCGGGCGTTCATTCTGAGGTTGCCTTTGCTAGTCCAGGAGGCTCGTTTGCACGGGTTATTGACGTATATATATATAGGGCATGCTCGTTCCTCGGGCTGAAACGGTCAGGAACTTCGACATCTCAGCTGTTCGATGGATTCTGGTTATCGAGAAAGAGGTAAGATAACAATGTACATACAAATGTAACAACAAGTTTACAGCCGGGTCTCGACACTGACAAATCAAACATGAAAGGCGACATTCCACAGGTTGGCAACTGCTAACTACCACAAAACTTCTGCTGCCGGCCCAGGGATCCTTATCACGGTAAGGACAATCCCCTTTATAATTTCCCCTTCATATTCCAATCAATCGTGAGTATTCTAAAATCGCAATAATGTTCAGGCGAAGGGGTACCCAGACATCTGCACCCGTGCATTCCTCCACTTATTATCCAGAACCCCAGGATCAGTATCAGGAGCATTGCGCTCCAACCAACCTCCTATTTTCATGCTAGTTGACAGCGACCCAGACGGCATTGCTATCATGTCTACTTATAAATACGGCTCGAGGGCGCAGGCACATGACAATCCCAACCTTACCGTTAATAAAATGCAGTGGCTTGGCCTTCAATCCTCCGAAGTTGCTTCTAGAATTGAAGTATATCAGCAGGATGATGACGTTCTAATTCCCCTGACTTCGCGTGACCGGAAGAAGGCTCAGGACATGTTGTCCCGAAGCCCTGTTTTCGCAGAGGATGGGCCAGAGCCGGCCTGGAGAGGGGAACTGCAGCATATGCTCATGTCAAATGTGAAAGCGGAGATTGAGATATTGTATGAACGGGAGTGGGGTATTGAGAGATGGCTGGACAGGAAGTTGCAGACATTGATCAAGAGGGTGTTCTAAGCCGTTTCAGGGGAGCGCTGGCGAGAGATACAAGGAAGAAGGCAACGGTGATCGTATAAAAATCGCTGTATAAGAACAAAACCAGTCCATAAAAACTCCACGCCCAATGAACTAAAACTAATGAATCTCTCAATCAAAGCAAATCATGTATCCACTAACCTAACCCCTACCCCGCTCGAAAACAAGACACAAAAACGCCGATAACTCACATTATATAAAAGAAAAACAACGCTCTATGAACCCTTGCTCCTCCAATTCCCTCCCCTCGTATCCAAAACTCAAAGCCCTAAACTCCTCCTAACCTCACTACGCACCCTCTTCTCATACTCGCTCCTCTGATCCCGCCACATCTTGGCCGCCTCGACATTTGCCGGGCTCTCATCATTTGGCTCCGCAAGCATACTCATGACGGAAATAAGAATCTTCTCGACTGATTGGATGGGGCTCCAGCGCTCCGACGCATGCTCGTAGTGGTTCGGGTCGTCCCCTGGCGGATGCAGGATGGAGATGCACACGGTGCCGTTGGGGTATACTACGTGTAAAGAGTTCAAGGGAAAACATAGTTAGTCGCTTGTAATGTGCTATACATGAACATGTAATAAATATCCAGGGTGATCACTACAGCACGCGCCATCATCATCCAAGCACAGAAGCACAGCCACCGGATATTATATATATTTCACATACCATTCGGATGCCAAACCCCACCACCCAGAAACTTCATCGTGGGCGGGCTGAGCGGGTAATCCCTGGGGAACTTGAGTTCAGCAGCGAACACGCCGCCCTCAAAAGGTGTGCCCTCGGGACCCTGGATCAGCGCCTCCCAGTGAAACATGTCATCTTCACTGACGGGCCCGGCTGTTATGCCGTCTGGTGGGCTGGTGGAGAGGAGCTTGTATTCGTGAAAAAGGCGCTTCTGGGCGACGGAGGTGGCCATGATTGTATAGTTTTCGTAGTGTAAGTCGCTCTTTAGGCCCTGAGAAGGGGTTTTGCGGATTGCGGGGGAAGTTTTTGGCGATGTGTTGATGTGCTGATAGTGAAAGTGGCGGCGGCTGGCGTTTTGGGGTATTGTGGCAGACATATTACTTGTGAAAACAGGATTTTCCCAGCCCCCTCTGAAAATTAGTAGCAAAACACCACCAAAAAATCAAAATATCTGCATTTCTCTAGAATCATTCAATATCATTCAATACATGTCTTTTTCAATCAAATATCATTCAAATACACATCTTTCTTACCTTTATCATCAATATATCATCTCAACTCTGTGATTTCATTGTCAATAAGATTGTATATCTTCTTAAGAATAATTATATATCTGCTAACTTACTAAGATTATATAAAGTATTAATGTGGCGGGCTGCGCCCGATCAATCATATAGACTATTCCGTTACACTCCACAGATTCCACGTACGCTCCGATCCTCGGCCATTCTCGATCGCCGATCCTCGGCCGCCACCCCGATCAATCATATAGACTATTCCGTTACACTCCACAGATTCAGCGTACGCTCCGATTCTCGGCCATTCTCGATCGCCGATCCTCGGCCGCTACGAACGTGTGTATATTCTTCCGCCCCGAAGCTCCACCGCGTACGCCACCACATACGCATATAAATATCCACCTCGATCGCCGATTCTTGCACTTTCTCTTTCTTTCCTTCTCTAGCGTTTTTATCTTTGTTATATAAGACCTATCAATATTATACCGATCTATTCGGCGTAGGCCCCTTACAATTAATTATTATTTATATATATTGAATTCAATAAAATCTTCACTATTTTAAAACTGTTAGAGAACTCTGTTCAATATATAATATAAAGTTAAAAATTATATCAGATATCTCTTCAATTCTGAAGAGATTTAATAAAGATTTTAAAGCTTTTTTATATTATACAGTTAAGAACTTTATAAGAGAAAAAGATATAAAAGAATATTTCAGATCTACTTATATAGAATAGTATTATAATAATTAGAAAGATTCAGATTATAATTTATTATAATATAAATTTAATAGTAAAAGTAGTATAAGATCTGTTCTTATCACTGTAAATAGTGAATAAAGATAATTTGAATTTCTGTAATCTTATCTATTATAGTGAACTTTTTAATTCATCTCTTATAATTTAAAATATACTCTTATTAATATTTATATGAAGTAACTGTTTTCTTATCAATTAATTAAAGTATTCATTAAATTAAGATATTAAACTACTTTAAATTAAAGATAAAACAGTGAATTTAATAAAAGATTCAATAATAAATTCAATAAAAGATTTTAATAATGTATTTAATAAAAGATTTCAATAGTAAATTTAATAAAAGATTTAATAGTGAATTTAATAAAAGATTTTAATAGTAAATTTAATAAAAGATTTTAACAGTATATTTAATAAAAGATTTAATAACAGATTCAATAAAAGATTTAATAATAGATTTAATAAAAGATTTAATAGTAAATTCAATGAAAAATTTCAATAGTAAATTCAATGAAAGATTTTAATAGTATATTTAATAAAAGACTTAATAGTAAATTTAATAAAAGATTTTAACAGTGTATTTAATAAAAGATTTCAATAGTGTATTTAATAAAAGATTTAATAGTAAATTTAATAAAAGATTTTAACAGTGTATTTAATAAAAGATTTAATAATGAATTTAATGAAAGATTTAATAGCAGATCTGAATATAAATAATAATAAAATTATAAATTCAGTTCTTCTATTTCTTTTATTATATATTTTATTATTATTATATTAATTATCTCACTTAAGAATACTATATTAAATAAAGTTAAAGCTGTTAAAGTTAAAGAAAAGAATATAATTACTAATATTTAAAAAATCTATATAAAAGAATTAATTATAAAAATTATAAATTTATTCTTCTAATTCTTCTTCTTCTTTCTACTTATTAATTATTCTATTATCTCTCTTATTCTTTATCTTATTAATAATTACTTATTTATACAATCTATATGAGATATCAGACTCAGATATAAAGATTTATAGATATTAAGAATTCTCAGACTAAGTCTCTATATTCTTCTTATTTCTTTATTTCTTTATTTTATTATTAACTGAATTCTCTTCATTATTCAGAACTTCTGAAACAGATAGTTTAAGAAGACTGAGATATAGAATAAAAGTCTTTATACAGACTTATAAAGTAAAAGAATGATGAATATTATAAGATATATTAAAAAAAGAGTTAATTAATATATATGAATTTAATGATAAAGATAAGAAAGACATGTTACATGTATTTAAATAATATTTAATTGAAAAAGATATATATTTGATATTAAATAATTCTAGAGAAATGCAGATATTTTGATTTTTTTAGTGATATTTTACTACTAATTTTCAGAGGGGGCTGGGAAAATTCTGTTTTCACATGTAATATGTCCGCCACAATAGCTAAGCGGGATTTCCTGCGAGAGGTGTTGGTGTGATGGGGGACGGCCTTTGAACAGGACGATATTTTGAGTATTGCGGGGTTATTAAAAAGGAAAAGGGAAAAGCCGAGAGGATAGAAGGATTGTATAGTTCTGTTTTGCAAGTTCTGCACTATTGTGCCAGATGTAATGCTTGCGAAAACAAAACAATGCCAAGACTTGGGGAACATAAATAAATACTCCGTATAAAAATTCAAGACCAGATTGCAGATTGCAATGTCAACAGCCGGAAAGTCCAGTATTGTTGTCACACAAATTCTGGTAATGACAACAGAAAAAAAAAGTCCTACACAAAATAATTAATACAAGCAGATATTAATCATTGCGTTCAAACATAAAGTAGTAAATCTAGCAGCAATATCTATGATATGTTTCGAGAAGAATATAGAAGTAAACCACTCCATACAAAGTTGGATCAACATCAAATGCCTTTCTTTCTTTGCACGGGTCTATGTAGAAAAAGTTATTTAAAGAGGATATAAAAATACAATATTATATAAAAAATTCCGCCAGATGCGGTGTAATACTTATGGGAGACATATCAAAAGAAATCCCCCCAGCCATTACCGTCCCCATCGCCATCGCCTTCGCCTTCTTCACCCCACCCGCCATTACTTCCACCGTCTCTGTTCCACCAATCCTGTCCACTCTCCCCCCAGACCTCCTCGTCCTGGTAGGCCCCATCCTCCGGCGGTGGGTGATCTTGCGATTGTTGTGTTTCATCTGGCTGCTGTTGATTATCAGCAGAGGCACCTCTTTGCATAGCTTCGTATCCAGCCATAGTTCCAGCTCCAGCAACACCTCTCCCGATTGCGCCTGCAGCACCTTCCGCAGCAGCGCCTTCAACGGCCCCTCCGGCAGCACCACCCGGAGCACCACTGGCAGCACCCTCACCTCCTCCGCCACCCATCCCGAAAAGTGGAATGGGCAAACCACCAGAAGAGCTATGGCGGCTGAAATAATCGAAGTCGATTGTGACAGCGGTGGCAAGTATCACGGCGCGTTGGTCTAGTGTCATCCCACTCTTATCGCTGCTATCATACAGCGGGTGTGATTCTTTATGCGTTTGAGAGACAATGTGATGTCGATCTCGCTCCTCCGCTAACGCTGCGGCGTCCATCCGAAGCGCATACATGCCGGTATCTGTAAATAGCTCCCGAGCAAAGCCGACGAAGTTACGATTCACGGATCCGATCAGCCGTGAATCTGCGGATCGGAGAGAGAAATCCCATGACAGGAATGGTTCGTCTACGTAGGCAAATTGGCCAAATTCGCCGGATGCTCCGGGTGCAGAAGTGCTGGCAACTTGTAATTTTTGAGATTGGGAAAGGTCTGCGTTCGATAGAGGTACGTGTTTGGTGTGGAGATCGGTCTCCGGAGTCGGATTTGGATGGAATAGGAAGAGGTTGTATTTTCGTCGCAGAGGAGCCCATTGAGAATGAGTTTCACCAACCACGCGCATATCTGCAAGGTCAAGGGAGGATATTCGCGCTGAATCGCCTGAGGTAGCAGCAACAAGGGGTTCCGCAGCGTTGGTTTGGACGGCGGCTGAGGATGAATGGGATGAAGAGGCTACGTCTAACGGATCGTAAACTCGGATTCGACTATTTATCCATGAGAAGGGCCGGTGAAACTGGAGAAAATAGTTAGTACAAATGGTATATTTGAAATATTACTTAGGGCAAGTAACATACACGTAGGACTTCATTTTGATGTTTGTCAAAGACATGAGTGACAAACGCGCGATGTGTTCGAAACCATTGACGAGCGAGCATGCTACCCATACTATTCCCCTGCTCAGCTATGTATCCGACATGGTTCCCTTGCGCATCCAATATTGTATACCGGTTGGCTTGTTCGAAGCCACTGTACCACATCAGTAAGAACGGCGACTTGTGAAGGATGTCACCGCAAATTGAATGAAGGGTCTACGTACAGGAGCACATTCATCATCTCCAGCTGCCTCTGGACAACCAAGCCGGAGTTTGCTAGGAGCCCCGCAGCTGGATGGGTCTCCCTAAGAACTGCATGTGGATCTTCTGGGATGTGAACGGGAGAGAGAAGTGTGTTGTCTTGCGGGTTGGTATCCCGTAGTGTTGCGGAGACAGAGTCTTGCGCCGAGGCGGGAGCGTTTTCAGGCCCAGATTGCGCATTCGCCCGGTCTCCCCGGCGCGGAGGAGGGATGGAATTCCGCCGATTCGGGATATTTTGCGGTTTCCGGCGGAGGGACGTTATTCGTGAGCCTTTCCTTGACCAAGGGTTTGTTGATCTGAGCGAGGCTGTTCGGGTGCCAAATGAGGGGCGAGGTTCAGGTAGCTTCAGTCGCTGGTGCCACATGATAGCAAAGCGGACATGATAATCAGAGGGGGGAAGGTTAAATATATCATTCCCAGTCTATATAATGAAGTTTCTGAGGCTTGTGTACCGGTACAGGACAATTAAATCTATTTAATATGTGGCGTCCGGTGGTAGTAAAATCGAACATAGAGGATGTGAATTCCATCTAGATGATATTTAGTTATTGTGGCTAGACTGGCCGCCGGGACCATGAATTTCACGTTTGGTCCCATTTGATCTGGTCCCATACATTTCTTGACATGAATCCCGCTGGGACTAATCATTAAATAAATATATAAAGTAACTATATATCAGATCTCAAAATAAAATCATGACTTGAAAAAAATGAGAAAATGATTCTATTTAGTCTCATTTAGTCTCATTCTTGGTATAAAGTTACTATTTTTAGACATTTTAAGATTTTTTTTAGACTATTTTTAATTTTTTAAAAAGTAATGCTTTTTGATAATATTTAAATAAGATTTAAAGTCATTTAAAGTAATAAAAATAATT